ATGTATTCTATACAAATATGCTTTAAATTAAATAAGATTTCCTTCTACTACAAAATAATTATTTTTAAAGCAGTGACTTCAACGACGACTTTTTTGTTTATCATAAACCAATGAAATTTTAAATTTCGATTACAGTTATCTTTCCCGTAGATTCCCGGAACATTTCAAATATGAATGCCTTGATGTTTTCATTTGAATATTTGAAAATTTATTTAAAATTTCTTATGAACCTATTTGTAAAAAAATTACTACATTATTAAATTGTATTGAAAGTTGCTGTACTGAAAGAAATGCGCTTTGTTCATTATAAACGGTGTTATAAGAACATTGTATACCTACTATACAGTGTGGAACAGCCAAATGGAATAAATTGAGTATCTCAATTATTGTGCATATTTATAAAAAATTCCGAGATACGTCGATTTTGGATTCTGAAATGACATCCTGCAACGTAAATATTTCATCCCCAAATTCAACCCCCTTCGAATGGCAGTTACAACTCCAAAATTTTTAAATGAGAGGTAAAGGCTTGTGATACCTCATTTGAAAGGTATTTTCATTCTCTATTCAAAAATACTATGGTTTTAATATTTATTGCAAAAATTAGCAGTAAAAAAAATAAATACATCGGTTTGACGAAATTCGCTTCAGCAAACTAAAAAAAACTTAATTTCAACGAAGATGTTCAAAATTAGTTGCTTAAACGTCTTGGCCGCATCCTAATCGTAAATAAAAATGTCTTCTAACGTTTTCCAACATCTGAGGCGTGACTGACCTAACCACAACTAAGTATTTTTTTTTTTCAATAAAATTGGCAATACCTATGAATAATGTAAAAGTTTTTATATCTCCTTTTTAGTAGAAAATGTTGAAAAAGAACACTGAAATTGTTTTTGCTAACCTGCAAGAACAAAACGCTGTTTTTATATTTTTGTTTGTTGTTTTGTTAAGCAGACCATTAATTTTTGCAATAAATATTAAAACCATAGCATTTTTGAATAGGCAATAAAATTACCTTTCAAATGAGGTATCACAAGCTCCTACTTCTCACGTACAATTTAGAGTTTGGAATTGTCACTCGAATAGGGTTGAATTTGGGAATGAAATTTTTACGTTGCAAGATCCACAATCGACGTGTATCGGGATTTTTATAAATGTGCACAATAATTGAGATAATGAATTTATTCCATTTGGCTGTTCCACACTGTATGTGATAGATGAATAAGTAAATATTAGATATAAAATGTATATTGCTAGTACAGACGTATAGTGACTGTAAATCACATTCTTCATTAACTTATTGTATGGCTTGCATATAACATTGTTAAATTTTTTATAGCGTATTTATATTAAATATATATAAAGTTATATAGATTTGATTTTGGTGTAAAAGATTTGTAAGGTGTCCATCTCTATTTCGGCAGAGAAAATTATTGATGAAAACAGGAATGACAAAGACAGATTCTTTATCTATAGTTGCAGGCTAAAAAAGTCATATTTACATCACCAGTAAAGTGTAATTAGCACCCTCTACCCGTGAGAACAAAATGAAATAATTAGCAGATTAGTCCAAAAATCGTCACTAACACTTAAACACTTTCCACTCAAGTAACAATAGAATGAAAACTAATGGAGATATCAACAATTCCAGAACATGTGGTTACAGAGGAAAATAGAGTTAAACTTTAAAAAATTTTATCACTTTTCTTTCAAATCAATGAAACAGTCTCATACTTGTTTTAAACAATTAGGAATTATTTTGAGGACTATTTAATTTATATGTTCTTATTTTAAATATCTGAATAACTTATAATAATAATTTTTGTTAATAATTAATAAAATATTCACTGATATCAATAAAACAACAAATACAGTCGTCATCTTCTTTATTTGACCTTTTGGATGCGAACTTTTTATTTGACTTATTAAATCAATAAATATGTTTATGATGTCATATGTTGCATTGTGGTTGTTAAATGTTACGTAACATAATGTAACAGGTTATAAATATAAATCATGTTAAATAATTATATTCATTTCATATCTCGAACCTCGTTAATAAAATTTGTACATGAGTAACAAGCAGGTAAATTTACTTGTCAACATATTTCTTGGGATGTGTATACAGGGTGTTTCAGACATAATGCCATTAATTTTAACCACGTATTCGAAAGGCACACTAAAGACAGAAAATCGAAAACAAGATTTTTGTCGATATTTTAAAAATAAACAAACTCCCGGTAACCCGACGCTCCACTTCGTAATAGGGAACGCGCCGCACAGACCGGCGAAGTAATCAGCGATCGGACGTTGTAGCGAAACAGCTGATTTCCTTCGTCTCGTCCAGTTTTGCAATTGCTTTCAGAATCAAAGCGTAATGTATCTCTATGGACGAATGAGTGAGTGTTTTTTAGCCGTATTTGTCATTTTAAATAAGTAGATACCATACCACTCTGAAAAGTAATGTTATACAATAGGGTATATGTACTACAAACTGAATAATTACCTATTTGAACATATGTAATACTAAAAACTCATATTCAATTATAAAACGGCGAAAAAGTTAAAAATACAACTTTAATAAGTTGTAGGTCAGCGGTCAGGAGCGGTACAAAAAGGGGTTTAAATAATGATTTGAAAATATTTTTTCTGTTTTTCCCTTAAAATCAGTGACATGACTAAAATACGCTGTATACAAATAAAACAATTTTATATTTTAATGTGAACGCAGATGATGATAAAAAGACTGTTTGCATTTTAGTTTTTCTGCTGCATAAATAAATATATAAAAGTAATTATATTAAAACTTCTTGGATTTTTTAAAACTAATTATCTTCCAAATTCTGATTTTTTTCGTTGTTATTAATGAAATACAAAATATTTTTAATTAAGGTAATCGATTACGAACCAAAAATATTTCCAGTATAAAATGAGTATATAATTGTTTTTCCTACCAACTTTTAGTAGTTTTAATTTTATTACTATTTTATTAATTGTGGTTTTAACTGAATGTAATATTGATATAATATGAAAATTTGATATTAATTAACGATTACTGTCGAACAAAATGTTAATGGCGCATTTAATACTCATTTTCGATAAATATGTAAAAATAGACCTCGAATTAGGAATCAAATAAATGTTTACGTACTATTAAATGATATAACATTCCTTTTTTACAGGGGACATCCCCGTTTCTTCAATAAATTTACGTTGTTTCAATATCAACTTATTTAAATATAATTAAACCTGAAACTGGTTACTTTTAAGTTCTGAGAATTCACGTTACAAAAAATTTTGAAAAGGTAACCTATTTATTGTTTCTGATAATGGTCACAGATGGCCCATCCACATCCCAAAAAGTGACGAAGCGGGATAAATGTATGCTGCAATTATATCTTACCATTTTTGTAGAGTAGAGCAAAGCATTTATATTTCTCATACTTCTAAGTTAAGTAAGGGTGCCATTTATGTCGAAATCCTCATAACTCTAGCGTGTATTTCCGGTACTGTCGGCTTCGTATTTGGGATCTGTCGTGTGGAACGCTCGGTATATCCTAAGGACTTATTTTCCTCTAAATAAGTAAGGAGGGTTTCAAGGTATACAATGACAATGAATACGCTTGAATTCGGATCGTATATGGCCCAAAGCCTTGTTAAGATACCAGAGGCGACGTTCGATCCCACTTCACGGTGGCTCCGTCAATTCTCGGGAATCGCTCTTCTATATCAATTGTGACATCTGACCTCTTTGGATTTGGGTGATATATGGCTGATATATGACTTATTCATGTATTAGATTTATAAGACGCGTCGAGTTTAAATTTCTTGTAATTTCTGGTTTCCTCGCGGAAAACTGGGCTGAAATTTTGGGCGTCCCACGAGAATCGTCGGCGGTCGCTCCGTTGTTGCATTAGAAACATGGATAACAATTTCGATTCGAAACCTATTCGAAAATTTTGACATATGTTCGGCGTTTTCTGTTTTACAGGAACGGTCGACTGGATACCTTCATGCAACTACTCTTGACTGAGACTTCGTCTGCAAACGGTTTCGTAGGTCTGACTCCAAAGTTGAGTGAAATTCGAAACGCACTCGGGATCTGAAATACGACAGTCTCTTTACTATCTTCTCAAGAATAATATTTTTTAAATATTTTTACCTATCTGATTAATTAACATTATTTTAATGCCACGTAGAATATGTAAGAGCTACTAATAAAAACTAAAATAAATTTTCAAGATTCCCAGTACGTCATATTTGTTTATTATCGCTCGAGAAATTGGACAGGTTTCCGCCTCATGTTAGACATTCAAGGTGAAGAGATGCAAAAAATCTCGTTTGAGATGTTTGTCAGAAGTTCATAACTACCAGTTTTCGTTACAGACAATTTGTAATCAATTATTGTATAAGTATGTATTGATTTATATGCCAATTATAATTTACGTTTGCTCACAGATATAAACACTAGTTATTTGCATATTTTGTAAAAAGGAATAAACAAATTGTACAATGGTTCACATTATTTAATATATCCATCATTGAGGAATTTAATTCACTAAAGTTATTTATTTATTACTACAAACTGGGGCAATTCAATAGAATTCCAAAAAAATTCCAACTACAATAATTAACGATAACATTAGTGTAATAAACAAAAATACACTATTTAGATTGTCTTTAGGGTGTCTAAATTCAGAATTAAAAGGAAATTGTTTTCACATATAAATATGGTATTTCTTTCTGTTAATGGAACTGGACTTTTTATTGAAAACGATAATTCTATTATTATTTTACTATTTATCATTTGTTGTAGGTATATAAACTTATGAGGGAAGGTAGGTGTTAAGTCACAATTTTTGCAGAAGTTACACAATTTGAAAACAATCTATTTCTCCATCAGAATTGTTTGTTTTATAGAAGAAATAGGTTATTTAAAAAATTAAGGTGTGTGGCATATTACACCTACATTAGCTATAATCCGAATTAAATAAAACTACTCTAATTAAAACGATTTTATTTGAAACGTTTTCTGTTTAAAATAATAAAGGAAGACTGGTGAAGAGAGTTTGTAGTCTTTTTTCTTATATTTTATTTAATAATTAACAAAATCCATTTTTTTTTATGTTTTGATTCAATTTAGTTTGCACTATATACAAGAAGACAACTTTAAGGCAGCATCCAAGTCCCTCTGAAACAAAAATATCTTATTAATTAATTTTCTCTATATTTATACTCCGCGGTCGAAATTATAGAGAGTGACTCATCGCTAGATTTTGGACTAGTAAGGGAGATGAAGCGTGCCGGGAACGAAAATCCATTGGCGTGTCTGCGTAAAAGGCAACAAGATATAGAAAATATTGAAAAAAGATAATAAAACATAACATCTAATATTTTTTACGGTTTGCTATAACCGGCACTTTGATCCATTTTAATTATTACAGCATTTTAAAACGCTTCAGTTGTGTTTTTTAATTTATAAATTTATTATAGCCATGGAATTAGACCCCTCGTCTACGCTTATGCTATGACGTTTCTCAGGACGGGTAAATCAAGTCCGTTTACACCCACTAAAAAAGCATTTCCCTATTCCCTACCAAGTGCAAAAGACAGAGATAGAATATAGATCTACGTTCAGTGTAACTTGGTCTCTACACGATTATAGATTATATCGATGTGCGTAGCGAGCGGCACAAAGATAAATAATATTGAACCGTATAAAAATCATTTTATATTTTATACGCATTATGGTAACAGTGTTTTTATATTATGTCTGAGTCACTCTCTATAATTTCGACCGCGGAGTATAGCTATGATTATTATTGCCACTTGTCAAGGTACGTAATAATATAATATTTGTATACTCAATACAAAACTTACTTAACAGTTGAACTTTTATTTAACTTTTAAAGGTACGAAATTAATTCAAATCAAGTCAAAAAATGTTCCTAAAGTTCTTACCTGATGAAGCCATGTTTGACACCAAAAACATCTAAATATACCAAAAAGCAATTTCAAAAACAACTATAATGATATTGTAGGAAACGGCTACACTGTGGACTGATATTCCCCCCTGTATCGAATTACAGCCGCAATATCAAGTAAACATGTTACTACGGGTGTATTGAATGCTATTTAGTCGACAGACTAGTTGTTTCCTACAATATAACTAGTTACTAATTAATAGCTTACTTGTGAAGTTACTTTTCATCGTATCTAGATGTTGGTTTGAAAGAGCATATTATATGACTTCATCAGATAAAAATTTAGTAACAGTTTTTTAGACTTTTGAATAAGTTTAGTACTTTTCAAAGTTAAATAAAAGTTAATATAAAAAATTAATAATTAAAAAAATAACGTAGTCCTCCAAACTCTTTCAAAATTACTAGTGTAGTGGTTTTTTCTATTTTTATTTTTTTCGACTATTTTAGTAATAGGAAACTGGTAATTTTAATTTCGCTTCAGATTCAAATGCTTGACGCATCTGGGCTATACATTTTTTTTGTATTAAATAAATATAATTTATAAAATATCATATCAAAAAGTAACAGATTAAATTTTCTACAATATACCACCATAAACACCAACGCAACAGATAAGAATTAATTACGCAACATTCGCACGATAGCAAAGACGTGAATGTGAACAGCAGAGGCTTACCCGTGTCTTGGCACGGCATTGAATTGCGTCGCTCTCTGACAGCCCTACATATCGGTACATTGTAATTGGATAGACAAAAATAAAAGCAATAATTCCTATTAATATAGACTGATTAGCACACTTTTGTCATTGCCGTTTAATTGTTTGTAAAAGTCTTGTACAATTCAGAGGCTTTAGTACGCAGTATAATTGTTTCCTACAATACCATTAATAGTTTTCTAATAGTTCCTTTTTATTATATCTAAATGTTGGTGTCAAATAGCGTATAACTACGACTTCAGGAGATCTTAGGAAAATTTTTATACTTGATTTGAAATCATTTAATACTTTTCAAAGTTAAGTAGAAGTACAAAAGGTACCTAATATTAAAAACATATAATTTATTAAAATGCCTCGAAATTACCAGCTTTTTTATATCGATTTTCATTTTTTTCAAATATTTTCGTAAGAAGATACTGCTAATTTTATCAAATATCATTAGGGTAGCTTTGTATACAGGGTGTAAAGAAATATTAAGTCAAGAATAATCAGTCAAGAGTAGGAATAAGTCAAACATACATACGTATTTTAATATGGTGTGACACTTTTGCATTACATTCAGATCTTTAATTATTTAAGTAAATGTAATTTATAAAATCATTTTGTTGATATTTATGGAAGAGTTTGAGTACACCATATCAATTGCGAAATCAAAAGAGGTTACATTCTAAAATATTGGCAAAAAGATTAGAAATGGAAGGGTTTCTCATCCATCTGTTCAAATACTTACAACTCTTAGAATCCACCACCTCCATGTCCTCCTCCTCCACCTCCACCGCCACCTCCACCTCCGCCTTCTCCTGCACCACGTCCGGAGCTGAAACTGCTACTGGAGGAGGAAGAAGAAGATTGGCATCCTGTTTCAGCAAGTCCTCTACCACCACCGCCTCCAGATCCACCACCACCCCCAAATCCTCCACCGCCACCACCCCCTCTACCACCTGGATAAGCAGCCCGCCGATGGCGGCTGTGAAAGACTCTTTTGGGTGTGGGTTCTTCAGTTTCTACGTCTTCGATCTGAAATATAAATTTGAATTATTAAAATTATTTATTTTTGTTAAAGTTGAATACATAAACTAAATCTATCTACATTCAAAGAATAAAAGGAATTTATTTTAAAGAATGGTCACAATGAATTATTTTTTGTAAAATACGCAGAAGGAAAAAACTCATTCCCTTACTTGTTTCCTTGTTGGCACAGTCAACAGCAGAGCATGAGCTGGGAGAGCTTTTCCCAGCAGTTCTGTATCTACATCATTGCTTAGTTCACTAAATTTTGTGCCCTCATAGTAGTCGGGATGGAAAACTGGTATCAGATACACAATCCCAACTCTTTTTGGTAGAGTTACATCTTCAGTTTTTTCAGAAGTAACACTTGCAAATACACTTGCTACTACGAATAGCGCCGCAGTTAACCTCATTTTACACACTGGCTCAAAAAATTGGAATCTGTGGGTATTTATATACCTACCAAATTTTAATAATATGCAAAATTATAAAATAATCGTTTGTTGTCATTAATATTCAAATATGAATACATTTATTAGTGTTGCGTTTAAATTAATGGACCTGTTCTTGTTTTCGATTTTGCTCGTTTATTTTAATTTTAAAACTGTACAAGGGTATTCACACAACTCTAATCTCTCCTTACATCCCTCCTTTCTTCTTTGTGTTTCTATCTATAAAAAATACTTCACATCAAAGGATATTTTCTTGAGATTTAAAAAAAATATTTTAAATCAATTGAAAGTTGCATTTTGGAGATATAGACAAATTTAAATGGAACACGTTGTATAGTTAACGTTTGTCAGAAGCCTTCCTTTTTTCTGATTACAACCATATCTATGTATCATATATTTGCTTTTACATTTTCCACAATATTTTGGTTTATTTTCTGACCGTTACAAAAGATATAGTATATTTTTTTGTTATCAATTTTACTAAAGAAACCTTTATGTTCATTATTAAGAAAAAATGTCTATTCTAGACAAAATACATAGGTACGTATATTCCAAGCAAATTTTTTATAACGATCCTATTTTATCCATGATGGTTCAATATTTTCTCTCATATAAGTTATTTGATCGTTTTTTGGTTTTTCTATCTTTCAAAGTTCCCCATAGGGAACCACATGGTCTTCTTAACGGATAATAAAATTATCCTTTAGTTAAAAAATTGTTCCTATTTGGTTTAAAAATATTGAAACATATGAAAAAACATAATAACAAAAGGTAGCCAGCCAACTTATCTATTTACGTGTAAAACAACGCCGCCAGTTTTTCGTTTGCCTCCACTTTTAATAAAATATCTTAAAATCATTCACTTTTTATAAAACAGGTCTATTTGTCGGTCTTTTAAATCTATAAAACTTATAATGTCTTCATAAAATTGGGGATCGGCACTGAGACTTTGCAATAGTCATTTTTCTATCGCCATCACTGATAGTTGTTTAAGTGCTCGTGTGTCATCGTATTTATTAAGTTTTAATGCGCTTAACACACGAAAAGTTTGTTTCTACCGAGACAGGAATTGTTAAAACTAGGCAAAACAATTTGTATGTTTCCGAAAATACTATTTTAAATTCCTTGTATAACATTTGTATGTACAAAATATTAAGTTCATTTTTCAACCTATCTCTTTGAAAAACGTTTGGATACATTTGTAATAAACATTCAAAGGATTTTTCGGAAAATTTGTTTGCATATTCGGGAAATTTTAAGGTATCTACTAAAGCAAGAAAATTTAAATCATGCAAATTCCCAAAACGAGTACTTAATTGAAGGGAAATGCAGTCTGTATTTTCGTAGTACAGCATATTATAACTCGAAAATCTTTCTAATTCGTCGTAACTTTTGCCCCGTTTACTTAGTTAGTAGTCCAGTAATATTTTTCACATAATTAAAAATATTTTTAAATTTTTCTTTGTTCCACATAGTCATTGATAATTATCATACCAAGAAGATTGAAATTTTAGCGAACTTTCCTGACCCCTTCTCTTTTTGTTAAAAATTTCCGTTATTTTTGGCGTTGGTCGACTATTCAAAACTTGTTTCTCTATTTCATTACGTCTTGAAAAAGATGTTTTAAGTAGAGATAAAACAATATCGTGAGCGGGATCCATAATATTACCTATGTATATCGATAACACAGGGTGTCCCAGAATAACGTGAACGACGGAAGACCACAGATTCGTGGACTCAAAATAGGCATAAAGGCTAATTCACCTAATATGAGACGCCTAGGACCGTGGAATTGGCCAGTCAGGTCTCCCGACTTCACTCAATTAGATTTTTATGTTTGGAGAGTAATAAAGCAAAAAGTTTCTTTTACACCCGTTGTTTCAAAAGAGGATTTGAGTGCTCGAATACGAAGAGCGTTCCATGAATTGCCTGCAGCTAAAATAGCAAAAGCGGTGACTGATGGTGTTATCCCTAGAATCCACAAGTGCTTAGCTGTTAATGGGGGTCATATTGAAAACACTTATGACTTTTTAAGTCATTTTTTTTTATCTTAGTGCATTATTCTTATCAACATTCATAATTAAAATTGTATATTACTATGTATGAAATAGATTTTTTAGAATTTTTCTTAACTTTATTCTGCTCATTGGTGGAAAATTCGAATATGTCTCATTAAAAACTGTAAATGTTCTGATTAGAATTCCATTGCAAATTATGTGAATAAATAATATTAAATAACTGGTGACAGTTTAGTTGTTTGTTTTGAAGTTTCGCTAAAAATTCCATAGTCATCCTCGCAAGAAATTACATGATTTTAGGTGATTACACAAAAAATAGTAGATAACTTAAAAACTAGAAGAGATAGGTACAGGGAACCGATACCGTGGAAAGAGAATAAAATTGTGTATCAGAATATAGAAAAATATACAGGGTGTTCCATTTAAAAGAAACCGACTTATGAAGGTTTGAAGTTAACTAAACTCGGCATTAAATTTCTAGCACCCTGTATGCAATGAAGCCACTTTGAAAGAATAGATTGTTGCTTTATCTTTCTTACTATAAAATACACATGGTTTGAAGCTAGTCACTGTTTCTCTCCATTTTCTTGAAAAAAATTAAATATCTCGAAAACGGTTAATTTTAGGAATAGGGAAACTTCATAAAAGTCCACCTAAAATAACACGTAGAATCCAAAATTGCAATAATATATAGGGTGTTCCATTTAAAATAAGCAAGTTCATGACGACTTCCGGTATAACCGGAAGTGGTACGTGGACGCCGTTATTTTAGTTGAGAAGGGCATGCCCGAAAACCCGGTATCCCAAATTTTCAAAATTCAAATCGAAGTAGTCTCTGAAATAATTCTAATGGGCCGTCACCGTGAGACACCCTGTATAGTAGTACACATGCGTTAAATTAACATTTTTCATGAGTTCAACAAAGCTGTAGATACATATTATTATCAGGTAAGTTATATGTTCTACCTAAACGTTGTTTTTTCTACCAATAGTTTCAGGTATTATTAGATATTCTAGGTGTATAAATATATGAAAAAGGTTTATTTTGTGTCTATAGAGATACAAAATTTGTAGTATTAATATTCAATGGAATATGTTTATAAATAAATAGAACTTTGGCTAATAGTTTGGTTAATTCTAGGCATTCTGGGCAACAGATCTAGATCTAGCAAATATATTGTGATCAAGAAAAAAATATATCCACCAGCCCATAAACCACACCAAACCATTGTTTTGTCTGGATGTAATGGCAGCTCTTGAAGTTCTTCGGGTTGTTCTTCATCCCAAATACGGCAATTTTGTTTATTAACATAGCCATTAAGGCAGAAATGGGCCTCTTCGCTGAACAAAATTTTGGTCGAAAACATTGGATCTTCTTCAAGCTGTTCAAGAGCACAAATACTGAAACGGTGACGATTTGAAAGGTCAGCCGGCTTCAATTCTTGAATGAGTTGAATTTTGTACGCTTTCAAACCAAGATCCTTACGTAAAATAGCCAAGTTGTTGCATACGACAAGCCAAGCTGTTGAGATCGGCGCCGAATTGATTCATTATGGTCATTACTTACACTCTCGGCTACCGCCGCAATATTTTCTGCACTTCGTGCTGTATGCGGTCTATTTGGTCGCGTATTATCCAATAATGAAAATTGGGTTTCAAACTTCTCAACGGTGTAGCGAATTGTGCGTTCGGTGGGCCGATTATGTAAACCATATGTTGCTCTAAGAGCACGAAATACACTTCTGGCAGAACGCTGATTCTCGTAGTACAGCTGGATTATTTGTAGACGTTGTGCCGGGCTAAGTCTTTCCATGATGAAATGTCAGACAGTACTGAACCAAAATACCACGACAGTTCACTCGACTCATGCGTGATCTGTCTTAAACTCGCTGAAAAAAGTACCTCTAAATGAATCACCCGTTATTAAAGCAGATATACAATTTTCTTTTCTCCAGTGTTCAACATATGTTTAAAAAAATTAAATTTACTTAAAAAGACATCGCAAATTTCCGTTGAATGTCAATAAAAGCTAATCAACGTGTTTTTGGTTATATTCAACAATTTTTCGTAATATTCGGTTGTCATGTTATTTACTTTCGTTAGATCGGGATTATTCAGTTTGTCATAAAATTGTAATTTCTCCCATTCACGTACATTGATTTAAATACATGGATTAATTCTTTTACTAAAAATATGCATGCTTAAATTCGACGAAGCCTTAATTTTTTAGTTTTTAATTAATAACTAGTAGTACAAACAGAAGGTACAATTAAATGTCTGGAGCAAAGTAAAGCAACTTTATTAAGTAATTGTATATTAGTAATTATTCTAGATATTAATCTGTATCGGGCGATCCAGCCAAAATCTGTGCTGTACAATGCCGTATCAATTACATACAGTATAGCTCTGCTGGCTTACCCATCTTATGATCAATCGCACTCCAAAAATTGTGTGAAGGGAACTATGGATATCGTTCGAGTCTTAAGAGTTATATTTATTGAAAACAGTTTAGTTATTTGTCTTCTTTATTTGACCTTCTGAATTCATAAACTTTTTTATTTGTAAATAGATAAATACATACAAGTCTCTGATGTCATAACTTGCTCTTGTTGAAAAGTTAGAGTAGTCTGCATAATATATTAAACTATAAATAAATGTAATACACAATACCTCACGCTTTGTTAATAAAGTTTATAAACATGTTCTTGAAAATATAACTCACCATATTTATTTAAAAAACTTACATAATTTATATAAATTCCTATCATGTACAGATTCAAATGTACGTAAATAACGTTAATTGGCTGGCAATAAAATTCCCAAGACCTCCAAGTAATCTCAATTATCTCTTGTTACGAATAAATATTTTTTATATAAAAATGAGTGGTTTTGGAAAGAAGTTTTAATGAACTGATTTATTTTTACGTGACAATTTCAAGAAGTATTAAAGGCGGTTATCCTTTCAAC